GGTTTTTTTTTTTTTTGCACAGCAAAGAAGTAAGTTGATTTAATGGAGTACAAGGGGTACTCCTACCCATGTACAAAAGAGGCAAACACTGAGCATCCACTAACTTCAGCTAACAAACAACAGAACCAGCTAAATAAAATGACCACAGTCAGATAGCTGCTCAATGATACATACCAGAAACCCACAGCTAAATAAGCACACTATTGTAAATTTCGATTGGCCTTAAGGCTCAATATAGGTTCAACCATCCATTCATAAAAATTAAAGGAATAGCCCGAAGACCTGCTCTTAATCCAATTAAAGGCTCTTAGTTGCACTAGCTCAAAAATTCTTTCCTCTTCATATACTTGGTTCTTGAAAATTTTACTATTTCTAGCCATCCAAAGAGACCATAAAGTGGAGAACCATACCACATCCCATCCAGCTTGAACTGATGAGTCATTTATGGGGGGCCTGTGTTGCTCGAAATCCTCTTGGCATGTCTTAGGGTGAGCCGTGAGAAAACTCCACCATTTTGCACATTTGTATCTTACTGAGTGAGCCACTCTGCAATGAATAAACAAGTGATTTGTATCTTCAATGTCATTACCACACAAGCCGCACATCATGCTACTGTCAGGAATGATTCCCCTCATAAACAAGTTGAGCTTTGTGGGTATTCTATCCTGCAGGACTTGCCAACCAAATGCACTGATTTTTGTGGGGATGAGTTTGCTCCATATCCTTTTGTGCTTCTGAGTTCTGTTGTTGTCGCTATTACTGGATAGGAGATCGTATGCTGTTTTGACGGAGTATTCTCCTTCTTTGTTGTGTTTCCACACCCAGTGATCAGTTTGGTCTTTGGTTGGGTGTAGGCTGTTGATTAATCCCAGCATCTCAATGAAATTATCTTTCTCCCACTCCTGCAGCGGTCGTCTCCAACAAGGTGTCCATTGCCAGGTATCTTCCCGCCAAAATCCCATTTGAGATATTCTCTTTTCTTTATCTGTGGAAGCAAGATATAATCTATGGAATCTGGTGGCAAGGTATTGATCTCCTATCCACACATCCTTCCAAAAATTGACAGACTGCCCATCTCCGAGCTTCAATTTAAAGCCCCCTGATAGCCATCCCCTGCTGTTTGGGTCAATCTCGTCTATCCTGCTTATGTTTTTCCACCATAGAGATCCCCTTTGGCCATTCAACTGCACCCAATCAATCCATCTACCCTCCGAGCAACCATATTTGTGTTGGATAATGTTGTACAATAAACTCTCCTCCCCACTTGCAAGTCTACCCCACCACTTTCCCAATAGTGCTAGATTAAATTTTCTAAGGTCTTTAACACCTAGCCCACCCTCCATCTTGCTACTACAAACTTTGTCCCATGATACCCAATTGATTTTTCTCTTGCTCCCCCCTCCCCCCCATAGGAAACTCCTACGGATTTTATCTAAGGAAGAAATCAAACCTTTTGGGAGTAGGTGTACAGACATGGTATACACTGGGAGGTTGGTCAAAACCGCATTGAGGAGTGTAATCCTTCCGCCAAAAGAGAGGAGCCGGCTTTTCCAATTGCTCAATTTTTTCTCGAAAGAATCAATCAATGGTTTCCACAAAGCAATCTTCTTTACACTGCCACCTATTGGTACCCCTAGATATCTGCATGGCAGTGTTCCCTGTTTGCAATTCAATATATAGGCCATTTTTGACATCCATTCCTCTGAGACATTTATCCCTACAAGTTGGCTTTTCCCAAAATTAATTTTCAAGCCCGATACCAGCTCAAAGATTCTCATTATGCTCTTCGCTGCCCATATGTTGTCCTCCCCTGCTTTCCCAAATAGGATCGAGTCGTCCGCAAATTGCAGATGGGACACTTTCATACCTCTACTACCAACATCAATTCCGTCGAACATTCCATGATTAATTGCTGAAGAGATAATGCCATTGAGGCCTTCCGCAACCAATAAAAATAAATACGGAGAGAGTGGATCTCCTTGTCTCAGTCCTCTACTAATTTTGACTAGTCTAGTTGTGCTACCATTGAGTAAAATCGACGCCTCTGCCGTCTTCAGACATTCATTAATCCACCGTCTCCATTTTGGTTCAAACCCCATTCTCGTCATCATGTAATCAAGGAATTCCCAACAGACCTTATCATACGCCTTCTCGAAGTCTATTTTGAACAAGAAACTGGCCTTCTTCTTCCTCTTTGCTTCATCTATTGTTTCATTTGCTATTACAATGCTATCAACCATTTGTCTACCTTTAATGAAGGCCATTTGGCTTTCACCAATAATGCCATCTAGAACAGAGCAGATTCTGTTAGCGAGGAGCTTTGCGATCACCTTGTACATGACGCCGATTAGAGATATGGGTCTAAACTCTTCAATTTTCTGGGGGTTCATAACCTTGGGTATCAACACGATGAAGGAACTGTTCGCTCCTTTAACCAATTTCCCGTTTTTGTGGAAGTCCTCGATGTAACCCATCATGTCGTCTTTGATCGTGTCCCACATTTCTCTGATAAATTTGAAGTTGAAACCATCTGGCCCTGGTGCTTTAGAACATCCACAACTCCATAATGCCCTTTTAACTTCTTCTTCGTTGAAAGGAGCAAGTAAAAAGGAATTATCAACTGCTGAAATCTTCTTGAATTCAATCCCGTTGAGATGAGGTCTTTGCCACCTTTCTTCTGTGAACAAGTTCTCAAAATAGTTTGCCACACCTTCCTTGATCTCATGAACTTGCTCCATGTGTTTGTCGCCCACTTGTAAGCTAACAATATCGTTCCGTCTCCTTCTTCCCTTGACACACCTGTGGAAGAATTTCGTATTAGCATCTCCGTCTTTGATCCATGTTGTCCTTGCTTTTTGGCGCCACATACCCTCCTTCATTTTTTGTTGTTTCCAGAGTTCCAGAAAACTGCTCCTTCTTAGATGCACATCCTCATCATTCAAATCTGTCGTCTCCCCTTTGATGTCAATACCCGCAATAGTCTCTTTACACTTCTTTATGATTAGGTCATTCTCCGACACCATTGTTTTGCTCCACTCCTTCAAGGTTTTCTTTATTTCCTTCATCTTTTCTTTAAATCTGTAACCATGCCATCCCGAGATCTCTGTTGATTTCCATGTCTCACTCACTAACTCTTTGAGTCCCGGTGAATCCAACCACACATCGAAGAATCGGAAAGGTTTAGGGCCCCAGTCAATTATTTGATTCTTCAACAAAATTGGGCTATGGTCTGACGATGTTCTCTTCAGCCCCCATTGTTTGACATCACCCCAGTTGAGGCACCAATTTTCTGACAACAAAAACCTGTCTAACCTGCTCATAACAGTTCCGTTTGAATGATACCATGTGAACTTCCGATCAATTAATGGGAGATCAATGAGGCCACATGATCTGATAAATTCATCAAACTCTGTCATTTCCCTCCTATTTGATCTCCCTCCCTTCCGTTCTTGCTCACTTCTAATGGCATTAAAGTCTCCCATCAAGCACCAGTTGCCTCCTGCTTCCATCATCAATTCCTTAATACTAGCCCACAAGGATCTTTTACCCGGCATATCACAAGGTGCGTAAATGTTTAGAATGTGTACAGGGGTTTTAGAGGCCCCCCAGAATCCATAAATCCCCACATAGCTCTCGCCTTCAATTATATTTTCTTTTTTCAAAATATCACTATTCCAAATACATACAAGCCCCCCAGACGCTCCTCTAGATGGTTTTGAAACCCAATCAAAATTGTCTCCTCCCCAAATGGTTCTGCACATATGATAATCTACCCCTTCTATTTTTGATTCTTGAATTGACAAAAACTCCACTTTCTCTTTCTCGACTAACTCTCTAATACTTCTCTTCTTGCCCTCACCCCCCAAACCTCTAATATTCACAGACAAGATAATCATTTAAGGTTAGCAACCTCCTCCCCCTCTAAAACGACTTTACTAACCTTTGAGATGCTGTGCAGCTCCCTATCACGTTCTTCCATCTCCCTGAGTCTCTGAATCACCTCTGTTTCATTGCCATGATCGCCAACTCCGATCTCCTTTGCGAATGCCCAGATTCCCTCTGCAAATCTCAGATCCGAAGCATTTCGAAGAGTCATGTTTCTGTTTTCGATGCCGCTGTCCGTGACTGATTCTCCTGCAGCTTGGTTTCGAATTCCAGGGACAAATACCGGCAATTTCTCTACCATTAGACTTTCCTTTGGAATTTTCTTCCTCCCTTTTGATTTGTGCTCCTGTTCCTCTTTTCCTCCCTCCATATACACTGAGAGGCAAGATCTGGTTTTCTTCTTCTTCTTGTATTTCGGTTTCCTCTGGTTTCTGCCCATCCATTCCCGATCTTCCCCTGATTCGCTCCTGAACCCCTTCCAAAAGGACGACTCCTGCTCTGCATCGTGACCTTCTGTTGATGATGCTCTGTTCTTCACTTCTTGTTGGGATTTTTGGGAAGAAGTCCGATTGATAATACTTCTATTAATTGATGAAATGGACCCAGCCTTCTGCATATGCGCGTCCGCTTCTTCATTAATGGGTTTGCTGCCGCCTGGCTTGATTGTATCATGTTTTAGAGGCCTGCGGTTTTTTATGGCCCAAATGCCATTAATCTCTATTGGGTCATCTTCCAGTGGGCCCAACGTCTCTAGTGGCCCCTCCGTTACCCACTCCCTTTGCCCTTCCTTATTTTTGCAACTCTGGTTGCCCTGACTATCCGGCACAGTCTCCAAATCCGCTGAGGATTTGTTATGATTGCTGGTGCAGTAAATTTGAATTTTGTCATCTCCGTTGATCTGTTGCTTGTCTTGGGAACCAGCTGCATTAAATGAATTGTCATTCACCGCCGAAGGTTGGTCACCATTTGTATTTTGGCGCCCTTGTGTCCAACGGTAAGATGGCTGTTCATCTCTGTCTTCTTTCTCCGTCACCTCATCCTCTATTTCCACGTCATCGTCAGCCTCCTTCCCACTGATGGGATTCCGGTTGCCATTTACATCCCCATCACCTGAAAACGCCACACTTACTTCATCCTCCACTTCTTCGTCTAAAGACCAGGATTCCGAAGGCACATCGTCGGAGTCACTCAATTCCCTGAACACGTGATCGGATTTCATGGAGAAAATTCCGTTGGAAGTGTCTTCCTCCGTTACTTTGATTAAGTAAGGTTCCCCATTGACCGAGATGTTGATGCTTTTGGAGATGAATTCCATCACCGGGGTTGATATCAACATTCTTCCTATGTCCAATCTCTGTTTTTTGCTGGTACTGTCGTCCAAAGTTATGAACTTTCCCCACACGGTACCAATTGTAGCAAAAAAGTTGGGCCCCCATACGTGAGCTGGGACTCCTTGACAACGAAGCCATACAAATCTCTCCCTTGCAACCATTGAAGGGCTCCATGGTTTAACTTCCGTGAACCATTGTCCCAACCATTTAGGAGCAAGCTCTATTAAATCTTTTATCTCCTCCTTATCTCCGCCCTCAAGTAGAACCAGACGACCGCCCATGGCTCTTATTCTACATGAGAAGTATCCCTCCATGAAGAATTTTTCTTGTAATGTTGGGATTATCTCGACTGAGTGAGCAATCCCGACATAGCAGCCTTGAAGCCAAGCGTACTCTTCCTCCTGGACGGTGAAGCTCATACCTGCCTTTGCCTGCTCCATGTCCTTTGCTCTCCAAACTTGTTTCGGATTCCTGGATGAGTTATTAATCCGTGATTGGCCATGTTCTTCTGCTCCATTTGCTGCTCTCCTACTTTCCAGTTCTGCTCCTCTTCCACTGTTTCCCTTTACCACTTCAGCAAAAGTTCTGTGTCCTCTGACTCCTGCGATCTCTTTTTGTCTCTGGGCTACTCTTAGCTGCTTCTCTTGCTCATAAAACCTTGGTTTGTTTACCCATAATTTGAATTCCCCCACTCGGATCTGATCAAGTTGGTGTTCTAGTTCCTTTTCATTTCTGACGTCCAAGAATCTGACGAACCCAAATCTGCTTCCCATCCTAGATTTTCTCATGGGGCTGTAGATGTCCAGGACTCTACCATACTTACGGAAAGTATGCCACATACTTTCGTGCTTCCAGTCCTCCGGGAAGTTGGTGAAGAAGTAGACGGAGGCTTGATTGAATATCCGACGGTCGTAACCCCGGATTTCGTAGTTTCTTGAACTGCTCTGACGTGTTTCTTTCCCATCTTGCACTGGTCGATTCCGTCTTCTGAAATTGGATGCAACCCAGCGCTGCGCCGTCCGTGTATCGCGTGGACCCCTGCCGTTGAACCTCTCTCTATCTTTCCCTCTCATCTCTCCGCTCTGATACTAGTTCGTTTATGACACGGTTCTATTTCTTTTGGTAATTTGTTGTGTTGTAAGTTGTCATCAATTATTAAGTAATGTTAATGGGATTTCTACTGTTGTTTCTTTGGAGCATGTTTACTTCATATAGTGAATCTGTTATCAATTTGAAATCTTATATTTTTGTAACATGTGCCTTTGCTTTGCTGACTTGACCATTGGAGAACACTTCGTCAGCCCTCTACCGCCTGTTTCCACTCTTTCAGGTTTTTTTTTTTCCTACCTAGACAGCCACATTTTATTTCATTTCATTTTCTTTTCTATCATTTGCAATCCTTTATTGCTTTAGTTGCTAAAAAGAAAACAATTTTTAAGATTGAAGTAAATAGTAAAGAACTCAGCTCTAATAAATCCCTAGTAAGTTTTTTGACTAAGAACTTCTTTTAATTTTCATTAGGGTTTTATACTTTTTTCCCCAATTATAGATAAATTGATTTTTAGGTATACATGGCTGAAATTGAGTCCTTTTGAAATGCGGGGTTCAGTACAATCGATTGGCAATTGACAGGAAGACATCCAGGCTCTGGTTTCTGATGAACTATAAGTAATAACTGTTAATTTCGCTGTATTTATTTTTTATCATTGCTATACTTTAACACTTCAAAATTAATATCATTCACCCGCAATAGTAATATAATATGCATTTCAGCTTCTTAAGCTAAGTCCGTTTGATGTGATTGAAATTTTTGATAAGAATTCTATTTGAAATAATTTGTTATAGAAGTTTTATTTTTGAGAAGTACAAATTATTTGGTAAAATTTTATTTAAAAATACTTTTAAAATAAAAAGTTATTTAATAATTTTTTTATAAATTTTTTTTTAATATAATGTAATATTAAAATGATTGAAATATACATTTTTTACTTACTAAAACACTACTCTTA